GGTGAGGTTCTGTGACCATGTCGCCAGCGGCTCTGCTATAAATCCTTGGAGTGGGAGTTTCTTCCTCATGACCCTCCATGCCTGTCATGAGGCGAACAAGAAAAGAACCAGATGGTTACTGGGTGCCTCTTCTGGGGCTGCCCTGCTCTGTGTTTCTTTCCTTTTGTTCATTTTTTTTATTAATTACTCTGGGGTAAGTGCATGCCACAGCACACGTGTAGAAGTTAGAGAAAAACTTTGTGGAGTTTGTTCTCTACTTCCGTCTCTACCTGTTCCAGGGATCGAACCCAGATTGTCAGGCTTGGTGACAAGTACCTTTTCCCTGTCAGCTAACTCACTGGCTGAAAGCTTTTTACAATTATTATTAGTCATGTATATTTGGGTACTCGTGGGAAAGATGCATGTGCAAATGTATGTGTGTATGTGTGTGTGAATGCTGGAGGACAATTCCTTTTGAGCCATTGTCTCTCCTTGGCCTGGGGTTCTCCAATTAGACTAGACTGTTCCGTGAAGATCCTCCTGTCTCCACGTCCTTAGCACCGGGAGTACAAGGGCACACTTCCACACCCAGCTTTTTACATAGGTGCTGTGGCTCGAACTCGGGTCCTTATGCTGGCAAAGCAAGCCCTTTGCCACCCTGGGCCGTCCCCACAGCTCTTTCTATTTCTGTATTCCCAGCCTCTCACGGTACTTGCTGTATCAGTGCTAGAGGCACAGCCGTAGGGCACCAACTGGGAAATCCAAGGCAGAGGTCTAAATTAGACTACAGAGCATGGGGGTGGCACCGAGGTGACCCTGGATTTGTAGCCTGGCAGACAGAGATGGAAGTGCCTGCCTCTGCTACAGGGAGCACAGAGAAGCGTGTGGCGTGTGGAGAGAGTGGGGACTACTGGAGACGCAATTTTAAAGGCATAGAACGTGAAGAGGCTCAAATGTTTCAAGATCAAAGGTAGATGCAAGAGCCGGAGAGCCACCGGGAAATGAGTTAGGGTCTGGGCTGCTGAGCTAGGAGTTAAACGGCAGAGGTTGAAGGGCTGGTGCGGTATCTAGCGGAAAAATAAAGGGAAGCCTACAGAGAGCATGGCTTTACCACCTCGTCTCCCTGGTTGGTTCAGGGACAGATGATGCTTCTGCTACATCCCGAGAGACTGCTGGGCCAGTGTGAAAGCAGAGCAGAGGCCTCAGGGAAGGAGTGGCTCTGTGTCCGGTGGCCTCCTTCTTTGCAAACTGTCCCTCAGGAAGAGGGTCTCCTCCCAGACCCTGGTCCATGTGGAGTTGGACTGGGCCACACAGTACCTCTGGGCTGTATACAGAGACTTGTCTCAAGAACACACTGAGGCTAACTTGGTTTTGAGGGTTTGGGGAGAGTCCTCTCTAGAGGGCTTTAGCCTACCTGGACATTCTTCCAGAACATTCTCTGGGGCCTGAAGGAGGCTTTGGGTAGACTTGGGAAGGCAGCTGACAAGGAACAGTCTCAGAAGTGTCCTTCCCACTTGTGGGCACATGGCAGCGCTCTGGGGAATGAACGAGTGAATGAGTGAGTGAATGGGCAGGTTCAAACATTCATAAACACAAGCCCAGGAGGTCCTTAGGCCTTGCGCCCTTAGGAGGGGTGCGGGCAGGCGCGTGGTTCCCAGTTAGTGTCCAGTGAGCAGTGGATGAGCTCCAGGTCAGGGGCAGAGGTTTTCTAAGCCCACAGAGTGGCCGAAAGTCCTGAATAAATAAGTGTGGTTGTTTCCCCCAGCCAACTTTCAGGATAATGAGGTGATATACATTCCCTTTGGGAGTTTGAAAAGCTCTTCCCTCTGCAGTTTTTCTTTAATTTTAGCTCCTCGGCCATGAGCTAGCGGCTTCTTTCCATTCCCCTGACGCAGAGCTGGGGGAAGGGAGGGGCCGCTATTAGCATCATCGGTGTCCCAGGTGAGAACGACAAACACCAATGCCTTTCCATTCTCACTCAGAGCTGGGGAGAGTGGATTTTTCTAACAACTTGGGGCTCAAGCTGGGACGCTCCTGTCCCTCTCTCTCCCCCTCCTCTTTACCTCTTTTCTTGACTGACTTGATTTTGAGCCCAAGGGGCCCTGCCACTTCTGTTCGTTTCCTGGCATGGCGCTGACTCAGAATCTTAGAGTGTCATGGCCATGGCTGCAGCTGTGTCGCCTCTGAGCACACACACCCCGAGCAGCTGAACCCCGCTCGGGACAAGGCCTGCAGGAAACAAGACTTTCCTTTCTGGATCTGCCCAGAACCCTAGGCTCCCTGGACGGCCTCTAGGACAAGAGACCACTGGAGAGCATGGCAGTGGCAGCGCTTGGGAGCTAGGGGCTTCCAGATCTTCTATCATTCTTTCAAGGTTGGGAGCTAGCTGTCGAGGGAACATAGATGCTCTATCTGTTGATGAAACACCTCAGTGTCACTCTACGCAATAGTCCCCCCTTTCTACAGGTCCCACTGCTATACTGGGACCACCCTTTTAGAATGAGGCATGTTTGAAGAGATGGCCCCACCCCTCACCACAGGCGTGGAAGAGCTGGCATAGGCCTAGTTAAGTTGGCTCTGCCCCTTACCTGAGGGCACAGTCCCAGTGACCCAGACTGACCCACATGCTGGGCCTTGGGTGGTCCACCCTAACAGCTGAGTCATAGTTGGAGCTGGGATGCATCTATGGAGTATATGAAGGGGCTGGTCTTGTGGAGCAATAGCCACGGGATCTCCATGACTCAGGGCAGCAGTGGGTATCTGAGAGGAGTTTTGGTGAGGGTCCAGTGATGCTGGTGAGCCAGAGGACCAGACCAATGACTAATTGCAATGAACATTTTATGGGTGGGGCTGACTGGACCAAAAGCGTATACTGTGTGACACACCGCAGCTCCTGACACCACTAAGGACAAATGAGAAGGTGTTAAAAAGATGGAAGAATGAGGTCATTTTGTTTGTTTGTTTTTAATTAATTGGGGGGCATGCTGCAGGGGTGAGGGGTAGATTATGGAGGAACCAGGAGATGAGCAGGATTGGGGTGCATGATGTAAAATTGGGGTGCATGATGTAAAATTCCCAGAGAATCAATAAAGAATTATGTTTAAAAAAAATAGGATAACTGTTAAGAGAAGCTTTTTCTTTGCTAGCCGCTTTGGTTTATCACCCGCCAGTCGCCTGGGCTCTGCCACATTGTAGTCCCCAAATAAACACACAGGACGCTGTATTAATTATGAAGCTGTTGGCCTTGCTTGTTTCTTACTGGCTAGCTCTGACTTAAGTAATTACCCCATAATTGTTAATCTAAGTATGTCTCTTACCGGAGAATAGTTCCAGGCTTCCTACCCCCATGGTGTTACATGTTGACTCTCTTGTGTTTCTCCTTCCCAGAATCCTCCTGGACTCCTAGTCCCACCCATCTAGATTCCTATTGGCCAACAGTGCTTTATTAACAAATGTACAGGACTTCCCCCATCAGATGACACATGTGGTAGAGTCCTCATTCTTTGGCTCTATGAGTGGACAGTTCTTGCCTTCTTTTCTGTTCCCTCCATCAACCCAGGGCTGTTGGTTGGGCAGATTTGGAACTGGGAGGCAGTCACAGTTGATAGTGTGTCGTAGCCCTCCTGGAAACATCTGGCCTGCGTGCAGTCTGGTTCAAATAATGAGATGTCACGATGCACGTATCCATTCGTTCGTCTCTGACGTGTCTTCCCCTGTATCTAGGGACTCTGGTGCACAGGGTAGGGTGTGGCTAAGGAGTGTGAGGCTGGTTCATCAGTTGTCCCTCTTTCTCTATCACTTAGACCAGTGGCCCAGTGGCATCATGGGACATGGGGCCACCGAAGCAGCAAGCAGAAGTCCCAAAGAAGCTCCAGCACTGTGTTGAAATATTTGGTCCTGCTGGCTTGGGGCATTAGCGTGTGATGGCTTGCTAGGTGTGAGTGGGAACCCTCTGCAGCAGGATAAGGCCCTGGCTGTTACCCACAGGCGGCCTGTGTGTGCCTCACTCCGAGCCAGGCTCAAGTGCATTCTTAGGAGACAGTCCATCTGCAGCGTGTCCTCTCCGGTTTCTAGTCTCCCTAAAACACCTCACCCCAGGGGTGTTACTGGATTTTTTTCCCACCTGGTCCCACAGCCGCCTTGCCCCAAATGAGCACACAGAGATGCTATATTAATTATGAATCTGCTGGCTGATGGCTGGGGATTCTTATTGGCTAGCTCTCTCTTAATTTTTAACCCATAACTACTAATCTGTTTATTTCTACATGGTCTTAGCTTACTGGAGAACACCCAGACCTGCTACTCCTTTGTGGTCTACATGGTGACTGTTTTTTGGCGGGCTCTCTCTGCCTACCTTTCCCAGAATTCTCCTCCTCTCCTAGTCCCACCTATTTTTCCTGACTCTCTGGCCAAACCATGTTTTATTCATCAACCAATAAGAGGAACATATATACAGAAGGACATCCCCCATCACAGGGAACCGATTTTTATCTGGGAAACACCCTCTTCATATCCAGCATTGATTTTAGAATTAGGCCGGTTTGGGTGCTAGAGAGATAGTTCAGCTAATAACACACCTGCACACAAAGCTTGACGACCTTAAATCAGATCTCCAGAACTTGAGTTTAAAAAAAAAAAAGAAGAAGAAAGTGAGAAAAGAGAATAAAAAAGGAAGCTGGTGTAGTAGTGGTGCATGCCTGTAAGCTGTAGGGAGACAAGCTGAAGCTCGCTGACCATCCGGTATAGCCAAAACGGTGAGTTTCAGATTCAGTGGCTCAAAAGACACCCAGCATCATCTTCTGGCCTCCACACATGCACAGTGACAAGTGCACCCCTTCCAGAAATAAGTAACAGCGAGTCTGATTCCAGATGTATAATTTAGTAGTTCTCTAAGAGGGGCGGGGTAGGGATGAGAGGGCCAAGCTGGCCTGGTCCTGGCCTGTACTCACCAGACCTTTCCCCGTTGGCTGCCAGTGGAACCCGCCTGCCTGGGCCCTCTCTGATGCTGACCTTTGTCTCAGGTGACAGGAACACCCTCCAAAGGCTTCGATGAGAAGGCATACCTGTCAGCCAAGCAGCTGAAGCCTGGAGAGGACCCCTACCGACAACATGCCTTCAACCAGCTGGAGAGTGACAAACTGAGCCCAGACAGACCCATCCGGGACACCCGCCATTACAGGTATGGCGTCCATTGTGTGGACAGGAAGGGAGAGCTGAGGAAAGACCAGCGTTGTTGTCTTGGGTTTTATTCGTTGTGTGTGTTTTATTGTTGTTTCTTTAAACGTGTATTTTATTCGTGTGTCTTGTGTGTGAACGTGCACATATGCAAATCATGTGTACTTTACAAATAAGGAAGACACCCTCATGCTCTGACCTCCCCCTCAGCACTCTCCCACCCTCTGTGTTTCAATGGGAAGGTCAAGAAAACCCCAGCTGGAGCGAGAAGGGCCCCTTGGTCCCTCAGCCAGGCATCCCAGCAAGAATAGTCTGCCAGGGAACTTCAAGAAAGTCCCAAGAGGTGAGCTGCACAGCTGAAGTGGGGTCTCCAGCCCCGCCCCTTTGAAGGGTGAAAGGCTATGGCTGCCCCATCTCTCCTGGCTGCCCTCACCCCCAGCAGCTCCTTAAACACAGCCTGTTCTTGTTCCTTATTCTTCTGTGGGAGGTGGACAAGGTCCTCGACCAGGGTCAGTGAGGCTCCCCCCATTCCCCAGCTCACTGACCAGGCCCTGGTAAGGCAGCCACCAACCCCATGTAATCCTGTCTAGAGTATGTGTTGCCTCGCTGTCCCGTTCCCTGCCAGCACCTTCTGCAGACGCCCTGTCTCTCCTGCCTGGCCTCGTTTACCCATCGGTTAGCATGTAATGCTCCTGTGTCCTTTTCTCCTTCCTTTCCTTTCCTTACTGTGTGTGTGCATGGCGGGATGATGGGGTGTAAGGCAGTGTTTTCCCCTGTAGCACAGGCTGGCCTGGAACTCACTGTATGTACCCCAGGCTAGCCCTGAACTCTTGAACTGCTCTCTCAGCCTCAGCTCTCATGGCTTCTCTACTGTTTGTAACTCCTTTGTCAGTCAGCCTGGGGGCAACGTCCCCTTTCCCCACTGAGGCGATGATAGGCTTGTGTGCTGCCCTTCAAGGCCTTTGGTGGACAGCCCGAGAGATGGCTGGCTAACCTAGTCCTGAGGTCTTTGGGGAACCCATGTAAACCGAGGGCTTGGCTTGGACCATCTCAGCCCACCTCAGCCCACCTTGACCTCCCCAGTCACTGTTCACCGAGAAGCTCAAAGGCAGAATTCACATCCAGGCAGTGGCGGGCTGATGAGGTGCCATGTGCGCCTCACAGAGGGCTGAGGTGGAGGATGTGTGCGCACCTGTGGAGAGGAAGCTAAGGCGGTGCTGGCCTGGTGGAGCCAGTGTGCTGGTGCAAACCCTGCCTCCCCCGGCCGCAGCCTCTGCCGGACTCTGTGCTGCAGGCTAGCTAGCTCCTGGTGCTGGCCTCTGTCTAGGATGCTATTGTCAAGGGAAACAAAGAGTGGGAAACTACAGAAGACTGGCGTGTTAGGATCACGGGAAAACCTCCGCAAACATAGACATGGGACAGCCTCCCCGGCTCCTGGGAATTGGGTAGCTCTATCCATCATCTAAATTCCAAAAGGAATGTGAGTGTGTGGGAAGTTCAAGTCTGTCCTCCAGAAGTGTGGGAGGTTGCCTCCTTCAAGGAGAGAAAGACGTTGTTATCTAGTTTCTCTCCTTAGACATACGGTGGCTGGGGACAAGGGCAGAACTGGGACCCAGGTCTGTGTTCCAAGGCTAGGCACCAGGAAGAGGCTGCTTTTCAGCTAGCCGAGCTCAGGTCAGCTCCCAGACCCCTGCCCCTTTGGGAGCAGGCACTCAGGCACAGCCTGGCTTCCGGGGGCAGAGAGGGCCCCTCTCCCACAGCCTCTTGGAGAGATGTTTTGAAGTTCCTCAGGATTGTTCCCTGAGGTCTCACTCCGCCAGTGGGACTCCCTGCCTGTCTGACCCGGCCTCTCTGCAGGGCAGGATGTTAGCCTGGGAATTCAGACTGAGCAACTGTCAGTGGAGCTAAGGCTGTAATGAAAAAACAGTCATTGCTGGGGTTGTACAGAGCGATTGTAATAAAGAACATCACTTAGGAAAACCAGCGGAGGCGGCTGCCTTCCAGTGGTCTGGAACCCGGAATGAATACATTCACAGAAGCAATAGGGAGGAAGGCCGACAGGAATGAAGATTTTAAATTCCCCTTGCTGAGGAACGGGAGACAGGGGGCCAAAGATAGGTACTGTAGGTGGGGGAGCCCCGGGCTGCTGTAGAGGGAGCAGAGTGGCAGGCCCTTGGTGTCCTCTGGGAAGCTGCTATCCTGCAGGCTCACCCCTGCAGGACTGTTTGTGCTATGGAGAGGGGAGGGAAGTCCCTCTACTCCCATCCTGCAGACAGAGTGGGAGGAATTTCTGGCCAGATCCTACCGGAGCTGGAAGACAGGAAGGAAAAAGCATCAGGGTGTGAGAAGGCAAAAAGAAGGTGTTTTTCTCTCCCCCAGCCACCTTGTCCCACTAGCCTCCCCCCCAGCAGCATTGCTGTTTGGCTCCTGGCTGTATCCTAGGGCGTAATATAGACCTGATCCCTTCCCAAAAGGCAATGCATGCTCGCCCTGGTACTTTAGGCCTTTGGCAAAGAAACCCCCATGGAGTTCCAGGACAGCTTCCAAGACCAGTCTGGCCTCGAACTCACAGAGATCCACCTGCCTCTGCCTCCCGAGTGCTGGGATTAAAGGCGTGCGCCACCAACGCCCGGCCATACCCCCAGACTTGGAGAGATATCTGCTACTTCCTTCCTGGATGTGGGTGCTGGGTCCCTGTGGGATGGAGCATTGCGTTGTGGGAGGCGGGCTGTATCTTTCTCCGCCTTGCAGAGCTGTCCCAGCACACAGCAGAGTGGATATAGGAAAGGTCCGAACTGCCTAAGCATGCCGCCACCGCTCGCCTCTGACTCCCTGTCCTCTTCTCAGTTGCCCATCCTTGTCCTATTCCTTGGACCTGCCAGCCACCAGTGTCATCATCACCTTCCACAACGAGGCTCGCTCCACACTCCTGCGTACAGTGAAGAGGTAAGTCCCTTACACCCGTGGGCTGTCATCTCCGTGGCTCTGCCCCATGAGGTCTCAGGTGGCCCGTGGAGTTTCTGACTATATAGTACCCTGTTGCTAGGGACGCTGTGCAGACTTCAGGGAAACCAGTGAGCGTGGGGAGGGCAAGTCCTGTCCTCCCGAGAAGCTAGGCCTGGTGAGTGTTGTGAGAGACCCCAGAAGTCAACCACAACCAAGGCCAAACAAGGGTAGACATGTAGCAGCCTCCTGGGAGAGGGAGGCAGTGATGGACATGAGGCCTTAGAAAGGTGGGTATCAACACATCAGGTGCCTGCTACAGAATCAGATAGACATGCCTTTCTGCTCTCAGTCTAAGTGTGGGCTAGTGGGCAAGTTTGACCTGCGCTCACATCACCTCCCCAATATACTTAGATGAAAATGGGACTCGGAAAGGAGAGCTCAGTGGTATTTCTTGGAGAGATGAGGCTTGGATATCCTTTCCCAGAGAAAGACAGGCACCCCTCCCAACCATGGGGGGCCAGCAGGCGTCTCCTTGATAGGAGAGGCACTTACAGGGATGTGTAAGAGAGGCTGACTCCACTGTTCTGTTTCCACTGCCGCTCCAGTGTTCTGAACAGAACTCCTGCCAGCTTGATCCAGGAGATCATTTTAGTGGATGACTTCAGTTCAGATCGTAAGTATTCACCTTTCTTTGGTGTGCTCCTCCACGCCCCACCCTACCCGTTCCCTGAAATGCTGAGATGAGCTCTCTGCAGCCATCCTGGTTGTCACACACTGTCCTTTGTCAAGAAGGGAATCTGTGGCCTTTTCTAGAATGCTTCCTCATCCTGGCACCCAACAAAGGGAAAGAGTGGATTGTTTAAATGATACACTCATGATAGGACATTAAAACAACAACAACAAAAACTGAAACAAGGGGCGGGGAGAAACCTCAGTAGACACAGTGCTTGCTACACAATCATGAGGATCTGAGTTTAGATAGGCAGCGCCCATGTCAAAGGCCATGTGCCACAGCGTGCCTCTGTCACCCAGTGCTCAAGGGAGTGAGATGGGAGAGTGTTGAGTGCCTCACTATCCAGGCAGTCTACAAAACTGAGCTCCAAGTTCAGTGAGAGAGCCTGCCTCAGAAAATAAGGCTAAGAGGTCAAGAACAAAGAGGAAGATATCTGAGGTTGACCTCTGGCCTCCATGCCTACATACCTGGGCAAGCGCACTTGCACAGACACACAGAGACATACACACACAGATACAGAGATACAGAGACACACACAGACATACACACAGGCACACACAGATACACAGATATAAACACATACATACACACAGAGAGATACACAGACACATACAAACACACACACAGACACAGACAGACACAGACACATGGATATACAGACAGACAGACACCCCCACCCCACCCCACACACCTGAAGCAGTATCCACATCATCCTTCATAGTTACACCTTCCATAGGAAGAAGAATCCCTTAAATATGGCAGGTGCTCTCTGGTGCCTACTGGGCTAGAAATGGCTCATAGGCAGTGGTGTTCCTCACAGGCCGAGTAGTAGGAACAGGGCTATCCTTCAGCCATGACAGTCAGTATGATCTGATGCCCACATCTAAATGAGCTTGCCTTACTCCCTTTGCCCTCAGCTGAAGACTGTTTGCTTCTGACTAGGATCCCCAAGGTCAAGTGCCTTCGCAATGACAGGCGGGAAGGTGAGTTCTGGATGTGGCTTCCCATCCCGGGTCTGTGTCATGGCGGTCTTCTCATCTCCCCACGTCTACTGGGTACTGTGTTGATGTAAATGTTGCCTGGCTGCGTTGGTTGTCTCTTCTGAGAAATGGGACAGTACTGGCATTCTTTGGCTTTACAAGGTTGCTATAAGGATGAACAAGAGGCTTTTGGTACAAGTCCCTGAGAAAACCAGTCAAGGGCAGGAGCTGACAGGTGCAGTTTGTGCCAGCCGTCCCTCTTCCCTGCAGGGCCATGGCAGGCATTGGCTTGGCTGACATTCTCAAACTTAGTCATGATGGCCGTTGCTCCCGTTCTGTCCACGGAGAGCTGAGATAGCATGATTTGTCAAAGGTAGAGAGTAGAGGAGCCAGGGCTTCAGCCTGGGAGACGTACTCAAGGGCCAGTCTTAGTCCCTCTGTGCATTCCCCCTTCCTGTGAGAACCCAGGCCTGGTCAGCGGGGACCGTAGACAGTGGGTGGAGATGAAAGCAGACCTTGAAAAGCCAGAAGAACACTCTTAGACTTGACAAGGCAGATAGCAGGGAGCCACAGAAGGTTTTAGAGTGAGGGAAATGCAGGCTAGATAGTACAGAAGAACGGCCATCTAAGCCTAGGAGCCATATTGGGGAGTGAAATCTTCCAACTGTCAAAGAAGAGGCCCAAGAGAAATGTCTCTCCAGCCACTGGAAAATAGGGATTATCAGGCTTGGGAATAGGTTGTCTTGGGGTTTTGCCAACAGTGAATGAAAATGTGTGGGCTGGTGTTTTCCCCATACCTTTAAGTAGAAAGGTGGGACATAGGCCCTTTGGACTGATGGACACCTAGTTACAGGCAGAGTGATGAGCAAAGGTGTGGCCAGGGAAGTCTCTCCAGAAGTGTCAGCATGAGGCCCTTCACTCTCTGTAGCTCAGGACATGGGTGATTACTCTGCCAGGGCAGAACTAGCTGGGCTTCTACTATCCTGACCCCCCTCCCCTCCCCACAAGTCCTCAGCAGAAGGGCCGACAGCAAAGCCAGTTAGTAAGCAGTTAGTGAAACCATCAGGGGATGGAGTAGGAGAGATAAAACCTAATGCACCGTGTTCTCTGGTGCCAGGCTCTCTCCTGGTTCTGCTGTTTGTTGTGACAGGCTGGGTTACGGTGGGTTTGTAGCTCAGTGGGAGAGTGTTGATCTGGCATGCACAAGACCCTGTGTCTGATCCCCAGGACCAAAGAAAGAAAAGAGAGGAAGAGGGGGCAAGGAAGGAAGGCAAGAGGTGGGGGAGGAAACTGAGGGAGGCTCCGAGTTCAACAACGTTCTCGAAGTGAGTGAAGGGCTTGCATGCAAACTGGAGCCCTGTTCAGTGAAGACTCTCTCTCTCCCTGTCACATCTGGTTGTGCAGCTGGAGGGAACCACAAAGGCTCTCAAGGGGATAGGCTTTGTCACCTGGTCTGTCAGTACCAAACTACAGCCCCACTCACTCAGCTTGCCCGCCCATCTGTGTCTAGACCTTCTAGGGCACTTGAGGAATGAATGACCCTGGGTGACCGGGGAGGTGGGGGTGGAGAGCAGTGGAGGCACAGCGAAGAGGCCAGCTGCAGAAGCTCAGAACCTCAGCCCCCGAAGCAGCGAGGACCCCGGGGCTTTGGGGGACACCGGTAGGCTTTTGGCTCAGCCCTTTCCTTTCCTTTTGCAGGACTGATCCGCTCCCGGGTTCGCGGGGCAGATGTGGCAGGAGCCGCGGTTCTCACCTTCCTAGACAGTCACTGCGAGGTGAACGAGGAGTGGCTGCAGCCCATGCTGCAGCGGGTGATGGAGGTGAGAACTGTCTGTGGGAGCTGGACCCCTTCCAGCTCTTCCAGAGATGCCCTTGCTCTCCCAGCCCTCACTATCTGAGGAGGCCTCAGGGGCTGCTTCCCCCGAGAGAGCCACCCACCCAGCTGCCTCATCCAGAAGCGGGGCTGATTGTCACATGTGTACCCCCTAAGAGTGTGAGAATCGCATTGCACGGAAGTTTGGTGAGCCAAGAAGCTCACACTGTGGTGGGTGCCCCTCGTCCCCTAGAAAGACAGGGTCCTGGGCTGGGGGAGTTTGCGGTCAGGCTGTTTAGCCAGTTGGAAGCAGGGCAGACCGGAGTTCAAGAAAGAAGAGGGAGCTGGAGGCTCCTGCCATGTGTCTGCATTTCATCAGGATGGAATGGCAGAAAGAACCAGGCTGATAGCCCTGGCTGGGTGTGGTGGGTGTGGTGGGTGTGGTGGGTGTGGTGGGTGTGGTGGGTGTGGTGGGTGTGGTGGGTGTGCCTATAATCCCAACACGTGCCAAGCCGAGGCAGGAGGATCATGAGTCTAGACCAAGCTGGAAGAGGAAGAAGCGAAGAAGAGGGAGAAGGAAGAAGAGGGAAAAGAGGAGAAAGGGGGGCAAAGAACAAGAAGAAAAGCAGCCCGATTTTTAACACAAGCAAAGGATTCGAATGAGCATTACACCTCACACCCCTTGAAAAGTTACTCTTCAGTTCATCGCTCGGCAAGTGCTGTGGTAGCTCTTCATACCTACAGGAACGGCCGTGATTAACAAGACAGGAACAAGTGCTGGCAGGGTGTGCATACATAGGAGTCCTCACACAGTGCTGGTGGGAATGTAAAATAATGCAGAAAGTTGAGAGGACAGCCTGGATGACGAGTTCCTAAAAGTTTAAGTAGAATTACCCATGTGACCCCAGAAGTTCCCCTGCTCGAATTAAACCTGGAGGGAAAAAAAATAAAAATTATGACCACACAAAGACTATACACATGTTCATTGCTAAAACAGCCAAAAGGCTGTGGTATATCCATATAGTAGAATATTATCCAGTCAGGAAAATAAAGTACTGATATGTGTTACAATGTGTGTATTCTTTGAAAGCCTGGGAGATGAAAGAAAGGTAGTCAAGAAGGCCATATATCATATGATCCCATCTGTAGGGCAGGTCCATAAGTTAGAAAATTCATAGAAATAGAAAGTAGATTAGTCTATTTGTGTGTGTGTGTGTGTGTGTGTCTGTGTGTATGATAAGGTGTTCTAGAATTAGATGGTGATAGTTAGTCTACTGTGTGAACATAGAAGTCCTCCGAATTGTACTTTTAAATATGAAATATCCTATGTGTGTATTAATTCTATCTCAGCAAAAAGTGTGAACAGGGAGACGCTAGTTCCGTGGGGACCACAGACAAGCTACAGGCCGCCTCCCTGGTCAGCCACTATCCTGGCTTTGACTATCTGAGCCATGTGCCAATTGAGGGACTTAATTATGTACAGAGGGGCTTGGGAGCCAGTGAGTAAAGGTGCTTGCCCTCAAGCCTGAGGACCTGAGTTTGATTCCTGAGAAAACAAACTCCAGCAAGTTTTTGGTACATGCACAGAAATAGGTGGATAGGTATGTAGGCAAAGTATATGTAAAGAGAAAATTTTAAGCTTATTTATTTTTATTTTATGAGAATTGGTTGGTGTTTTGCCTGCATGTATGTCTGTGTGACGGTGTCTGATCCTATGAACTGAAGTTAGACAGTTGTGAGCTGCCCTGTGGGTGCTGGGTATTGAACCCAGATCCTCTGGAAGAGCAGCCACTGAGCCACCTCTCCAGTCTCTGGAAGAGAATTTTTTAAAAGTAGTTTTGTTATTGTTGTCTCACTGGGTATCCCAGGCTGGCCTTGAACACACAATTCTTCCGCTGCAGCCTTCTGAGTGCTGGAGTAAATGACTGTGTATTACCACATCTGGTTTGGATAAGAGGGAATTAGAGTTGAAAGCAGAGGGGGAGGGGGACTCTAATCTGTGCCCCTCAATGGAGTGTTGAAAGGGCCTACCAAGTGGGATTAGGTTTTCCCTAGGGTGTACAGCATGATTTACCCCCACTCAAGAAATCAGAGAGTTTTGTATTATACACGGATGTTTTGAAATTGGATTTGTGTTCTGGGAGGTGACTGACTTTAAAGTGGAACTATAAAGTCCCTGGCCCTATGCTGTCGGTGCCCATTGGGGAGACTCAACTCCAGAAGGTAGAGAGCTGAATAACAGTGACCAGAACGGCCCAAACGGCAGCAGAAGAGCCAGCAAGAGCAGCAGCTAAGTTGCTGTCCCATCTAGACCACGACGGTGAGAGGAAGACTCCTGCAGCCAGGGAAAGCATCGCAGAGGGGGTGGCATCCCAAAAGGGCTCAGAGTCATGCAAGAGGAAGAGGCCGGGAGAGCAGTGCTGTGCCTGGAGCTGGGTGTGTGTGGTGATCTGTTCCAGAGGTCAGGCAGCTGGGCCTCTGTGTGCAGAAGTCCCTCATCATCTCACACCTCCTCATCTTCCTCTCCTAGGACCACACCCGTGTGGTGAGCCCCATCATCGACGTCATCAGCCTGGACAATTTCGCCTACCTAGCCGCATCTGCGGATCTTCGAGGAGGTGGGTCCTGCTCCTCAGAGAGGGCACCTAGGCTTGGAAAGAGGCAGGTGAAAGCCCGGGTGCAAGGGCTCTCCTGACTCTCACACTGCCACTCCCTCCCCCAAAAGAGAAAATGAGGAGGGACACGGAGAGCCCTGGGTTGGAAGTGCATCACACAGTCAGAGGTGGAGCGGGCCCGTCATTCATCATCTCTCATCGTGGGCACATCCCTCCCCAGTACTGCCAGCATAGAGAGCTTGGCCAAAGGCCCAGGGGAGTCTTCTGGAGAGCAGATGCTGTCTGGACAGGAAGAACAAGAGCCTGTGGCCTCGCCTGAATTCTTAACACACATCCCACGGGCGGTCACAGCAGCTACTCGCTGCATTTGCTAGTGAGCCTTGAAGCAGCTGGCCAGATTTGCTACGGGCTGTTAAGGATATGAAATTCTCAGCAGTGGTTAGCATTTTAGGGTGGACAGATGTAAACTATCTCATTGGTATTTTCTGTTGATTTCATGTTAAAATGTTTTAGATGGGCTTTATTCAAATTAATCTCATGTTGGGTTTTTTTTTCAATGTAACTCCTGGACTGTTTTTTATATTAATTAATTCATTAATTTATACTTTATGTGTACGTATGTGTGCCATGTGCATGTAGTGTTCACAGAGGCCCGAAGAGGGCATCAGATCCCCGGAAACTGGAGTTACAGGTGGTTGTGAACCACTGCATGTGTTCTGGGAATGGAGCCTGGCCCCTCTGAAGAACCTCAGATGCTCCTAAATGCTGGGCCATCGCTCTAGGACAGTGGTTCTCAACCTATGGGTTGCAACCCTTCTGGGGTCGCATAGCAGATATTTGTATTGTGATTTGTAATAGTAGCAAGTTACAGTTATGAAGTAGCAATGAAAATAATGTTATGACTGGGGGTCACCACAACATGAGGAACTGTATTAAAGGGTCTCAGCATTAGGAAGGTTGGGAACCACTGCTCTAGTCCTCTCTGGACTACTTTATATGGTACATGTGGCTTGAGTTGGTGGCTTGCTTTATTATTCTTTTGGACAATTATGGACCCTGGCGTTAGACTGCCCAATCCAGATGACACTAGCCACGTGCAGCTCTTTAAATTAATTAAAATGAACTGAGATTTACAATTAAATTCCTTAGGTGTCCTGGCTATATATCAAGTGCTTAACCCACATGATGCTTTGGCAGCCACACAAGGTTTTGCTGACCCCACTGAGCCATATAGATATAAATCATGTCTGTTATTACAGAAAGTTCAGTTGGATGCCACTGCTCTCGAGAGTCTGTTACTGGGAACCAGTGGGCATGGGGGATGGTTCTTCTTTAGTGTATGGTTACCCATTAAGAGGACCCAACCAGGAGTTAGACCTTGGAGTTGGGTAAGGTTCTAAGGGAAGCCAGCCATTTCCCCTCTGAGAAGTCACCTCAGGGCCTTTGTACTTTGTCTCAGTTACTTCTCTATTGCTGTGACAAAACACTGTGATCAAAGTACCATATAGAAGAAAGTATTTAATTTGGGACTCATGGTTCCAGAGGATGAGTCTGTAACCATTGTGGTGAGAAGCATGGCAGCAGGGCGAGCGTGCATGGTGCTGGAGCAGTAGCTGAGAGCTTACCGCTGGTCCACAAGAAGGAGGCTAGCTGGGCCTGGCATGGACTTTTCAAACCTCAAAGCCTACCCACCCCAATGACACACTTCCTCCAGCAAGACCACACCTCCTAATCCTTACCAAACAGTTCCAACCTGGGACCAGGCATTCAGATATATAAGCCCATTGATGTCGTTCTAGTTCAATCACCACCCACTACCCCTGTCTGGAATTTTCTTTCCCCAGACGTCTGTATGGATTATATCCTTTGTTCAGATCCCTGTGGGTGAGCCTTGCCGACTAACCCTAATATAATATGGACACCTCATCTTAGTTTTTGTTTTTAGCATTGCAGATCTCTATGGGCACATCACACACTTTGTAGTATCTGTCTTGTCAGTAGGTTGACAGCATGTGAGGTAGGCACATGTCCCCATGTGAGTGCAGAACGCCCTGCTGTGATTAGAAGAGATTGAAGGGTTGGAAGAAAAGGTCCACAGTCCTCGGTGGGCTCTTCTCTGAGCCTACCCTCACCCTGCTTTGCCTGTAGGATTCGACTGGAGTCTGCATTTCAAATGGGAACAGATTCCGCTGGAGCAGAAGATGACCCGGACAGACCCCACCAAGCCCATCAGGTCAGGCTTGGCCTCTGGGAAGCTCACTCCTTCCTGGATCAGGGGCCTGGGAGGCTCTTGGGAGGGTGTGTCATTACCAGGGCTTCCAGGGGTTCCTAGTCTACATGGTGACTCTGTCTGGGCCATCAAACCCGCCCATAGGGACAGAGGATTGAGATCATGGGAGCAGTTGTGAGGACCCCAAGAACTCACCAAGTCTCCTGCCCCCGTGACTCTGCGGGTAGGGAGTCAAAACAGAGGCTCTGGGTTTCCAAATTTCATGGTTGCACCTTCACTCTCTGTCTCCCCAGGACACCTGTTATAGCTGGAGGGATCTTCGTGATTGACAAGTCCTGGTTTAATCACTTGGGAAAGTATGACGCCCAGATGGACATCTGGGGAGGAGAGAACTTTGGTGAGTCAATAAATAATAGCAGTAAAAACACAAGAGTAATGTTAATAGTTCAGACAGAGCACAGTCTGCACATGAGGCCCTGGTCCTAAAGATGTGACATTTAATCACCCTAAGGACCCTCTGAGGTAGTCGACTCCATTTTTCCTGATTAAAAAACAGGTACAGAGAGCTATTTGTTCAGATCCACTCAGATAGACAAAAGAGTTTAGGTGTCCAGCCAGCGTGTGGCCAGATGGCTAGACATGTGTGTGTGGGAACACAGGACCGAATACGGCTTAACTATGTGACTGTTTCTCTACCGGAAGGGGTAGGGAGGTATACAACAGGGCACGATGGTCACATGTAAGCAGGGAGTCAGAGGCCTGGGCATGACAGTCACATGTAAGCAGGGAAGGCCTGGGCTTGGCTTCTTTAGTTTGTTTGATTCTGGGCAAATTAAACCTCTTTGGTACCCAGTTTCCTCCAGAGCTTTCTGAGTAGTGATTGAAGCTGTGGCGCTGATTACTGTGTGTGAGACCATCAGAGCCCTGAGGATGGGAACTCTTGGACTGCCTGGAACAGCAGGAGGGAGATGGAACAGTCAAGAGAGGGAGTAGTTTGCTCTGCTGTCCCAGAGGACCATAGAGAGGTCACCATGCGTGGCTGGAGCCCAGGCTCCAGCATAGGTGGTCTGGGTCACTGGAAAAAGCAGTCCACTTTGGGAACCTGAGTTTATTCACTTGGGGGTGAAAAAAATCCTCCTTCCCAGGTGCTGGTGAAATGGGCATGAGACTGGGTATATCAGGCCAGGCCCTAGCAGGGTGCAAATGCTGCATGTGTGTTCACTAAGGACTCGTGCAATGTGGACCAGTATAAAGCTTGGCCAGCACAGTCCTGGGTGGCGCTGTGGCCACACATAGACAGCTGTAGCCAGCCACTTGCAGGCCTGAAAAATGGGGAAGGAAGCACCCCTGGTAGTTACTGTGTTCTCATGGGGTGATGGAGATCGTAGTGAGGGTGGAGAGGTTAGTTGGGGAGGGCGAGTGTCACCCCTCACCAATCTCTATCTGCTGCTGCCTCCTGCTGGCTGAACCTGGATGCCCAGGGCAGGAAGCACGTGGGCTTATGCAGTCTAAACAGAAGCCTCCTACACAAAGAAACCAGGCAGGGCAGAGAGCTATCCCAGGGTCCTTGGGGGCAAGGCTAGTTCTCTGGTCCAGCTCTGGAAGCTCCTCTCACAATCTCCTTTCCCACCTGACCAGGGTTCTGGATGGTGGGTAGAGCTGTGACCCTGGGACACGGGTAATGGTGCTGCCTTCCTAAGCTCAGTCAGAAAGTGACACATGTGACTGGTGTCCCAGAAGAGCCCTTGAGGGTTAGGAGGTACTCTCAAGGCCTGTGTGTGACGTGAGGAGGTGGTCCTTGTCCTCTCTCTCCTGCCTCACCAGGAAAACAGGTAAACAGCCAAGTGGAAATAGGCACAGGCTTTTCTCCTCTCAGATCTCTCTCAAAGTGGACAGGCAGCCCTCACAGGAGTAAATGCTATGAGCTGGGGCACCGTGACCCTGGCATCCTCACCCATTTCATGTGTTTGGAGTCCTAGTGACCTGCTTTGTATCCTGGTCCCTACTTGAAGGCAGCTTTGGCAAAATGGGTTTGCTGTGAAGCCACGGCTGGCCCAGCAGGCTGGAAAAGGCCCAGCCTTGCTGCATGTAGACGTTTCTCCCTCCCTTTCTTTCTCTGTGTTTTTCAGGCTGGGAACTGACAGAGAAACCCATGAATGATCAAATAGCTCACTTCAAACCCTGCCTAAGGCAAGGGCTCCTGGGCTGGGAAACTTGAAAGGCAGAGCTAGGAGAGGTTCCAGCCAGGGTTCCATGTTAGTCAGAAGAAATCCAAAGAAGTGTCTAGGCTGCCTGTGGCCCACACAGGGTCAGTTGCTGGGCCAATTTTGAGGCCTGAGACTCCTCTCTCTGATGGTTTTGGCTTTTTATTTTATTTCTTTGTGCAAAGACAGGAGTCACCCAAACTGAGCCATACTCCTGTGTCCCCTGAGAGAGGCCACCTGGGTTGGGCTAGCAGATCTGAAACCTTGGAAGTTACCGTAGGGTTTCTTCCTCTGCTTAAGCTGCAGGGTCTCCCATGTCCTTCACCCGACACCCAGAGGCCTCCTGCTGGCTCCTAGGTTCTTCCTGGAAACCCACGCATGAACTCTACCCCGTCTCCCTCTTTTCAGTCCCTCCCTCAACAGGTCTTTGTTGCCCAGAACTCACAGGCCAGGTCTTTTCCTCAGGGTTTATACCCTGCTGGAAAATTCTCCCCCTGAGAATTGCAAAACCTCTTTCAGATCTTGATGCCCTTTCAGTTGGAAATTTCTCAAGTCAGGAACTGGAGAGATAGCTCAGTGGTTAAGAGCACTGACTGGAAGAGGGTTCTGGGGTTGTGCATTGCAGGCTGGGTATCTTTTGCTTTATGTCTGGTATCCACTTATGAATGAGTACATACTGTATTTGTCTTTCTGGTTTTGGGTTACTTCACTCAGGATGTTTTATTTTTTTCTAGTTCTGTATATTTACCTACAAATTTTAGGATGTCATTGTTTCTTATAGCTGTGTGAAAGTACCACATTTTTTTTTGTTTTTTTTCGAGACAAGGTAGCTTTGTAGACCAGGCTGGCCTCAAACTCACAGAGATCCACCTGCTTCTGCCTCCCAAGTGCTGGGACTAAAGGCGTGTGCCACCAACATCTGGCTTGCCACATTTTCTTTATCCATTCTTCAGTTGAGGGGCATCTAGGCTGTTTCCAAGATCTGGCTATTACAAATAATGTTGCTATGAACACAGTTGAGAAAATGTCCTTGTGGTGTGAGTATGCCTCCAGATGGAAGCACATGCAGAAATTCACAACTAACCAATGGGCTGAGCTCCTGGAGTACAACTGAAGTGAGGGAGGAGCGATAATATGACCAAAGGGGTCAAGACCATGATGGGGAAATCCACAGAATCACCTGACCCGAGCTAGTGGGAGATCACTGACTCTGGTCTGACAAATGGGGAACCTGCATAAGACCAAACTAGACTCCCTTAATATAGGTGACAATGGTGTGGCTGGGACAATATCTAACTCTAACTGACTTAGTGGAGCCCATTCTATATGGAGAGATACTTTGCTCAGCCTAGACACAGGGGTATGGGGGGGGTGGAGAGGTGCCTTGGTCCTGCCTCAACAAGATGATGGGACAGACTTCATAGACTTCCTAGGGGAGGCTTTGCCCTCTCTGAGGAGTGGATGGGAGGTGGGGTTGGGGGAGAAATGGGAGGGTGGGAGAGGAGGAGGGAGGGGGACTGGGATTGGAATGTAAAAAATTTTTAAAAAGAACACTGATTATTGCTGGGGGGCAGGGTTACCCCTTTAGCCCCAGCATTTGGGAGGCAGAGGCACGTGGATCTCTGTGAGTTGGAGGCCGGCCAGTATGATCTACAGAGCAAGTCCCAGGACAGACTTCAAAGCTACACAGAGAAACACTGTCTCAAAAAAACAAAAAACAAAACAAAAAGCATCCATTGTTCTTCCAGAGGACCCAGGTTCAATTCCCAGCACCCACATGGCAGCTCACACATGTCTATAACTCCAGTCCCAGGGGTTCTAACACTATCTTTGGGCCTCTTTGAGCATCAGGCATGCATCTGGTACACGGATATGCATGCCAGCAAAACGCCCACACACATACAGAATAAAATAAGGAAAGAAAAATTCTTGAGCGATACTAATTAAAAATGCAGTGTGTCCACCCCGCTCCACTGTCCCCTGACCTCGCTGCCTCTCCCTCCCTTGCGCTCGTCACCCTCCCATATGCTACGTGGTCATCACATGCTCTTGTTTACTTGTAGTTTTTCTTTCCTGCTGTCATGGCGCGCGCGCGCGCGCACACACACACACACACACACACACACGCACACATGCACACAGGCACACACACAAACGTGTGTGCACACATACACGTAAGGGAATCTAGAGTAGCGCACAACACATAAAAGATGCTCAGCTAACATTTGCAGGGTGAATTAAAGAACTTCACTCAAGTGTGGTTTGGGCTAGGGAGTGCTCAAAATGCACAATGCTGTGCATCTGTGAGGACCAGAGTTCAAATCCCTAAAGCCTGCATAAATGCCAAGTGGGTTTAGTGGCCAATATGTAATTTCAGCCCTTGAAAGGCAGAGGTGGGATCCCTGGAGCAAGCCAGCTGGCCCCAGTCTTGCAATGCAGGATGCTTGCTGACGTCAACCTCTGGCCCCCATGCACACGTGCACACACACACACACACACACACACACACACACACACACACACACACAGGCACCTATACCGCTGTGCCCACACAGATGCAAACACATACAAGTCAGAGAGAGAAAGAAAGCAGTGTGTGGCTTGCTTGACACCATGTGAACTTTACATTGCAATGTTGCCAAGTCCAGTGACCTTGGAGAGGTTTAAAAAACAGAGCTGGGATCAGTGGTATATACTTCTATCTCAGCACTGGGGAGGGTTAGGTAGGAGGACTACTTGAGTTCAGGAGTTCAAGACCAGCTTGAGTGACATAGACCCCCCCCCCCACTCTCAAACAACACAAGAAAAGGTGGCACACACAGTAATCTAAGCATTCGTGTTGAAGCAGGAGGATTGCTGAGAGTTTAAAGCCAGCCTGGACTACAGGCTACATGGAGAGTACCAGATCAGCCTGGGATATATAGCAAGATCTTATCTCTAAAAACAAAGAAAGAAAGGAGGGAGGGAGGGGAGGGGAAGGTGAGGGATGGGGAGAATACAGGAAAGATGGATAACAGTCTGACTTCTGGGCTACTGTAAGAATCAGACGTTTACATCATGGTACATAGTAGGTGCTCAGTAAATGGATGATGGTTACTGGTGCTGTCATCGCCGTTGTAGATAATAATAATTTGTAGCAAGCATGGACAATATGAGCTCAGTGAGATGAGGTGTTACAAAGATAACCATCTATCCCCAATTCTAAACCTCAACCACCAAGGCCAGCTGCAGACCTCTGGCTGGGGAGGGAGACGGGTGCCTGGCAGTTTATGGGAAGAACTAAGGAATCCATTACCATGGCTGATAGTAATCCTTGGGAGGGGCCCAAGCTACTGTGCCAGTGAGAGCTCCAGGCCTGTCCAGGGACCACAGTGTAACCCTCATCAAAACTTTATGGTAGAGGACTTGCACATAAACATCACACAGCACTAGCCAGACCCAGCATCTGTACCTCTCGGTGAACTTCCGTGATGGTAGAACAGCCATTCTGAAGCTGTAGAGCTTTACACCGGATTACACTTTCATCCTCTTGGTTTTTCCAGACAGGGTTTCTCTGTGCAGCCCTGACTATCCTGGAACTTACTCTGTAGACCAGGCTGGCCTCGAACTCACAGAGATCTGTCGGCCTCTGCCTCCCAAGCGCTGGGATTAAAGGTGTGTGCCACCACGTCTGGCTTCACTTTCTTCTTTTAAAATTATTTTATTGAGAGAGAGAGAGGTATATGCACATGCACAAATGCATGCATAATGTGAGCTCGTGCAAGGAGTGCAAGCACCCCATTTTATCTTGCACAAGAGCTCACATCCCAGTATATACCTTCAGGGAGACACCAAAGAGAAAGAAACCCATCCCCTTCCTCCTTTCCCACCATCACCTGGAGGGATCCTTCCCCTTCCTCTGACACTGTCATCTCCTGCAGAACTCTCCTTCAGGGTATGGATGTGCGGTGGCAGCTTGGAGATTGTACCCTGTAGCAGGGTGGGCCATGTCTTCAGGAAGCGGCACCCCTACAACTTCCCTGAGGGCAATGCCCTCACCTATATCAGGTAGGTCCCAATGGGAAACACCCTGGAGGAAGCATGGGATTCCCTCCCTCTAGTTACTCACCATCTTTGTGCCTTTCGGCTGCCAACCTGTATCTCAAGCCTCAGTTTCTCCATTTGCTGCCCTAGGTCTGACATTTTGGGTGTTTCTGAGGGCAAAGGATGAAATTGAAACATTGCCCCTTGTGTCTCTCTTGTCTTGATTCCCTTTGTCCACAAGTATTGGACAAATAGTCGAATGACCAATATATTGTTGTCCTCTTTGAACATGGTTGTTGGTCATGGTTTCCAATGGTCCCACATAAACTTGGCCTGGTACCTGACCATGTTCCCAGCCACAGAGCACACTTGGTCTCACAGGAGAGAGAACCTTGTCCTGGAAGACCATCCCATGATCTGTGCTCCTGATGGAGGAGTTGGCTGGTGGGGGATGGGGGCTGTCCTGAGTATACATCCCCTCCTAAGGATATATTTTTCCCCTCATGCTGGTTTGGGTGGGTTGGCGGAATGCTTTCCATATTTGATTAATGAATGATCTAACATTTTCTTTGACTTCTCCCATCCCAGTTTTTTGTTTGTTTGCTTTGGTTTGGTTTGGTTTTCTCAGACAGGTTTCTCTGTATAGACTTTGACTATACATGTTCTGTAGACCAGGTGGGCCTTGAACTCAGACAGAAATCCACCTGTCTCTGCCTCCCAAGTGCTGGGATTAAGGGCATGAGACACCACCACCTGGCATCCCACCTCATTTTTTATTTTTTTGTTTTTCAAGACAGGGTTTCTCTGTGTAGCTTTGTAGACCAGGCTGGCCTCGAACTCACAGAGATCCACCTGCCCCTGCCTCCCAAGTGCTGGGATTAAAGGCATGCACCACTACTGCCCAGCACCCATCGCATTTTCTAAAAGATATATATTTACTTTCAGTTGTGTGTTAGTGTTTTGCCCAATCTATGTATGGGCACCATGTTCATTCCTGGTGCTTGAGGAGGCCAGGAGATGGCAGATCCCCTGGAACTAGAGTTACAGATAGTTATAAGCCACCATGTCGGTGCTCAGAACTGAAGTCAAGTCCTCTGGAAGAGCAACAAGCCATCTGTCTGGCTCCCTTACATCCCATTTTTACAGTCAAAGTCATGTAAATTTACTGCAGGACCAACACCAACTTTTACATGCAGATGGTATTTGCATATCATATTTGTGATGATTACTCTTTGTTGTATCCAAGAAGAAAGTGAAAGTCATCTCCGTTCATTCTCTATTTGCCCACTCATCTTTTAAGCAACTGCTGGTACACTTAGCATGAAAACCTTTAACTAGAACTACCTGCTTGATGGTGTCAGACCTTTAGATCCATCCGCATGTGTACCTTGTATGCAGAGACCCACTGCGCTCCATAGCTTGTGTTAGTAGGTTGCTGCAATGCACCCTTCTAGCGTCCTGACTCTCTGGCACCCGTACGGCAGCCAGCCTTCCTCCTCAGCATCATTAGCCATGGCATCTGTTTTCAAGGCTGCCTCACCCTCCATTGTGTAGAAATCTTTTCCCATTGAAGGGCATTTCTTTTGCTGACAGTGTTTTGTTAAGCAACTATTCATGTGTGTGTCCCCTTGGCCCACATGACAGGTCTTTCAATAGGACAGATCCCTTTGAGTCGAGAGCCTGTCATGGGTTCTGACAGATCACCCTCCAGACAGACTGTAGTGATTCATTTCACCCAAGCCACTGTTGTTTTTCCTGTACTGCCGGGATTCTTGTTGCTCTCTGCTGCACGGAGCTCATCTTCTTTTTAAGTGTATATTGTTAATCAACAAACAGCCAGGCCTGACAGTACAGGCCTGTAGTCCCAGCTGCTTCAAGTTTCAAGGCCTGCATGGGGTAAAGATTGAGTTCAAGACCAGCCCAGGTAGCTAACTGCAATCATATCTTCATAAAAGTAAAAGGCCAGTGGTTACACCAGGGGCGGAGTGCCTGCCTAGCAGATACCAGGCCGTGGGTTCAACCCCCCAGTACCACATTTAAAGGCTGTAAGAGCCCACCTCCACTCTTTCCCCTCTCTGCTAACTTGGTTTTGCTTTCCCTGCTTTTAGGAATACAAAGCGTACTGCAGAGGTATGGATGGATGAGTACAAGCAATACTACTATGAGGCCCGGCCCTCTGCCATCGGGAAGGCCTTTGGCAGGTGCGTCCCTCCAAATCCCCCATTTGCCTCCCTCCTCACGTTTGCATAGCCAAGCAAATATGAAGTAGGTGTGCACTGGACAGCGCACACTGGGCTGAACGGGAGACTGAATGGTCTCCCTGGTAACCGAGTCCTGGCTCTTCCAGCTTCTCTGGCCTCTGGGAGGGGGTGTGATGCACAGACAAGACCTTGATTCAGGACCCTAGTCCTACGTACTTCATGCAGACAGATAAAAGGTTTCTCCATGGAAGCTTAAAGTGCAGCCATTCAAAGCTGCCTTCAGGAAGAGCAGCGTCTGAGGTAGTCACGACAGACTTGTCTGCCAGGGACCATGCAGGGTTGCCACCACACCCACCCAAGCCTGAGATCTGTCAGCCTACTTTCCTGTCATGGCCTGTGATAACCAGTGTATAGTTAAAGCATTTCAAAAGTGCAGATGGATTATGAAATCAATGTAGTGAATCCTCATCAGCATTTTTAAAAAAGGATGCGAAAGACGCCATGGATGAGTTTAAGTGCTGAACAGACTAGAAAATCAGACTTGATTGCAATCTTCAATAAGTATTGTTTTGTGAAGCTCATTGCATTGTGTGTGGATGTGCACCCACCTGTGTGTTCTCAGCCTGGGTGTCCATGGCATGTAAGATGTGCTGACCTCCTTGTTAATGATGTCGTCAGGAAAGTTTGAAAACATTGTTAGCAATCAATGGCAAATGAATCATCCCATCTGTTTACTTCTATCTGTTCTTAAGAAGAGAAACGCAAGCCACGAAGTACTTCTTTTAACGTTTACTGAGGATATAACCTGGCCTAAGCATCCCATGTCCCCTTTTGACACTCACAAAAAGCCACAGTGAGCAGTGGATCTAGTTACTTGGAGAGGTGGCTATCTGGTGGCCTTTGTAGTTGGTGTAGCTGAGGAAGGTGAGGAGATTGAAGAGCATGTCCCAACTACACATCAGAAGGTCGTGACCCACCAAATCCCGAAAGATGTTCACTTTAGACCCTGTATCCTAAAGCGGAAGTTGATGAAATCCTCTGCAAAAAAAAAAAAAAAAATGAGGACAGTTTGTACATGCTAACAGGAGTCGCTAGGAGCAAGAGGCTGAGGACAAAGTGTGGCTCCTGCAAGCTCAGACAGAAATTAACAAGAGGACACAGGGGAGACCGGAGAAGGGAGTGTTCGCGTCAGATGTTAGTATTAACTACCGAGATATGTGAGAAGCAGGGGCTGGCCTCCCTGTGCTCCCTTGGGCCGTGCTCCCTCGGGCCTTCCTCCCCACATTTCTGCCCTTTCCCGGCCTTTGTTTCCTTTCAGTGTGGCAACACGGATCGAGCAGAGGAAGAAGATGGACTGCAAGTCCTTCCGCTGGTACCTGGAGAATGTCTACCCTGAGCTCACGTGAGTTCCGGCCTCTTTCCAGGGCTGGGGACCAGTGACCTGTGATGCCCTGAGCTGCATCCTTCAGCTGCCAAGCATTCATCTTCCCTCAAAGGCTCTGAGAGAACAGAGGAGGCATTACCATGAGTTATCAGTCAGGCATGATAGGGCTGCATTTTTACCAGACTGGCTCCCGGACTAGAAATGGATATTGTCTCCTTAGGAGAACAACACTGCATTATGCAGCTGAGGCCTCGAAGCTTTCCTCACCTCTGATCCTGTTCTCTCTCTGCTGGAAGCTTATCCCAAGGAGATAAAGTCATCAGGGCACAGAGCTGTTGACCGCAGACCCTGCCAGCCAGTCTGCTAGGGGAAAATGAGATGCAGCTAACTCTTAGGCTGGCTCACTGGATCACTGATACAGCCATTTAAACAAATATTATGCATCCATTAGTATGTAATCACAGACACCAAAAAAAAGTGCAGGGAAATGTTTGCTCTGGCAAAGAGGGAGCAAAATGCAAATGGCTTGTGGCTGTGTGTGCTCTGAAGGGAGCTGAGGGAGGTAGGAAAGGCTATGGCTGTGACAGGGTGGGCCACTCAGGTTCCTTCTTCCCCATTCTAAATCCTTTTTGGTGTCTTGGTTACACTGTTCATTTCCTCACCCGCTTCAGATTTTGACTCATTTGTCTCCTCCTTGGGGACACTTAGTCTGAACACTAAACTGATAGCAGCATCCTTCTCTGGCATTCCTCTGGGACCTACATCAGCATCTCACACACACTCCTAGCTGGTTACGTTGATGTCACCTCCTGCACTTGCCTAGAAGCTCCCCGAGGCAGAAGCCATTGCTGATTTTGTCTGTAGCTCTCCTCCGGCCCCTAGAATAGTGTCTATCACAAAATAGACACTGGGTAAACGTCTTTTAAAAGAAACATTTTTGAGAGAGTAAATTCTAGTGAGCAAGACTTGGGAGTGTCTGGAGTTAGCTCCCTTCCCCTGTAACAGTCCCTGGGGAGCCTCTTCATTCCCCTGGTGTTGCTTCTTTCTCTCATGATGTTGTCCTGGCTCCCTGGGACACTGCACCCCTCCCTGCCTACAAGTTCTGCAAGGAGGGGACCTCTGTTCTCCGAGGGCATATCTACTGCCTGGAAAGTTCCCACTGTTAGGTTGCGCCAAGTCCTGGAAAATAGCTAGATGCTGAACCCAGATAATACAGCTCAACGTTCCAAATACAGCCTGCCCGGTAAGTCCAGGCTGACTGCCGGAAATTTCTAAGAAATTCCCGAACTACAGTCCAAGCTACACCAGCCTCTTTGGAAGCAAGTCACCAAGCAGCCAGCCCCTAACTGAGAAGCGTGGGACATGGATTCGCAAGAGTGCGAGTGAGCATCCTGGGTACGAGGCGTGCATGCTCAGCCATGAGGCACTTCTGAGACAGGAAGGCAGTAGCAGTGTTTTACCCACTGTCGAGTTCCTACATTTGGATGGCATTTTGGGCACTAGGTCAGCATGAGGAACTGAGGAGCCTGTGGGGAGGGACAATGGGGAGATGGAAATGGGTCCTTCCTCTCCACACCCCAGCCCCCCACTCTACCCCAAACCTGGACCCATCCCAAGACAGGGCAGTGTATTAAATGTGCAGTGTTAAATCAGGACAGAATGCCACCTCCCCCCCACCATTGATTCCATGGTTCCTTCCTATCTAGCTGGTTTAGCTTCAGGTCAAAGGGCCAGGGGCCAGGGGTGGGTCAGATTGACGTCACTGTCTCTCCACACTGAGTATCTTTAGATTGCCTACATGTCGCAGACGGTTACCACAAAGTCTGAGAAGGATAAAATAGCTTCCTTTGCTCTGTGTTCAGGGTTAGCTTCAGCTGGCCCCACTAGCTGCTGATTCACCACCTTTATTAGACCTGGCCCAAGCAGCAGTGCAGACCAAATCACACCTTTATATGGGTGCTAGTCACACAGTGGCCATTGTAGACTCACTACAGTAGCCTCAAGCAGATGGCAGGAAGCACTCTGGCCAAAATGTATGCAATAACAACTTCCTAGGAGGCGGAAGTCAGGCAGCTTGAGCAGGGGCTGCTATGCTATTTCTGAGAAGGCAGTGTAAGATCTGATGGCAGCCCTGCTTAGAGGCACGTCACTGAGGGAGGCACAGGGGACCACCTATAGACAGGACAGGTTGGCTTGCTATGCCGGGCAGCTGAGGAAGATGATGACAACTGCCATCTTGGCCAACTAAAACCACCGGTGCACATCAGGGACTGCGTCTGCTCTTGACACTGCTGCCCAACACGGCTTCCTTCCCAAGCTTCACTGGGCAGCCCCACAGGGCCAGTGCCTGTCACCTCTGACGCCAGCTGGCACATGTCCCAAAGCAATGGGGAGTGGGCAGACAAGCATAGGGGGTCAGAACAACCCTGCACCCCTTGATGCATTCCTCTGGAGCACAACTCTCAATCTTCAAAGGTGCTGGAAGGCAGCTTGTGTCTGTGCAGAGAAGGAAACTCTGCAGGGAGGGTGAAACTTCTCCTAGTAGGAGTTGCAAGCTTGGCTCCTTCCAGCGATCAGATAGGCAGTGAAAGCAAGTCAAGTGATGGGGTGAACAGCGGGGAGTGAGGCTGCCCCTCCAGGCGGAGGATGAGTGTTGCCAGCTCAGGGGGCCTGGTCTCCCCCTTTTTTCCCATGATATTCTGGATTCGGGTTCTGCTCTATGGTTTTGAAGGTTTTACTCTCTCTGTCTCTCTCTGTCTCTCTCTCTCGTGTGTGTTCATACACGAGCACACACACGCAGAAATGCATGCAGATGTGTGTGCAGATGTGGGTGGAAGTGATGTCAGAGCTGGATGTCTTCCACTGCTGGGCTCCACCTTATCTTTTGAGGCAGGCTCTGTCACTGACCTTGGGGTTCACCAGTTAACTAGACTGACTGGCTGGCATCCTGAGGATCTGCCTGTCTCTGCCCACTCCCTGCACTAGAGTCACAGAAACAAGTAACCGTGCCTGGTTTTTACATGAGTGCTTTACACGGGTCGTTGCTGCCTGCGTGGTATACACTTCATCAACTGAGCCGCCTTAAGCCTTTAAAAATATTTTAACTAATTGATTTAATTCGGGTGGGGACTTGGATGCGCATATGAACATCAGGAGTCAGTTCTGCCCGTCTACCATGTGGGTCCCTAGGACTGAACTCGGGTGGTCAGGCTTAGCATCGAGGGCCTTCCCCCTCTGAGCCATCCTGCCAGCCCCCTGAGCTTTTAAATTGCTGCCCGATGAAAAGCAGCAGTAACCCTCTGTGTGGGTCAGATGGAATGTGTCTGATGGCCACATTCAGCCAGGACCTGCAGTTCTAGCCTCTGCTCTGGACCTGCACAGCAACTCTGGTTCTGAGGGGAAGTCCAGGATGTGAGGGGGAGTGAAGGGAGCTACCCAAGGCTCTCTGAGAGCAATCAGTTCTGGGGTTCTTGAACAGCCTGGGGAAACATGCTATGGCTGAGATCCTTCAAGGATTTCCACATTAAGGAGTAGCAGACATGTCCCCTCCCAGGGTCCAGGCTCTCTCTGGACTAGGGAGCAGGGAGCATTAATTTCTGAGCCCTCATAGTTTCCTGACACTTGGTGATGGATGTCAGCTGGAGATGCAGCCTCCTTAGGTTTGATACCCAGGGGCTATCAGTGTGTACGCACATGTGTACATGTATTTAAGCATTCTCCTGGCACATGAGATGTTTTACTAATGGGATAGCTTGGGGCTGGAGAGATGGCTCAGTGATTAAGGGCACTAACTGCTCTTCCAGAGGTCCCAGGTTCAATTCGCATCAACCGCATGGCTGCTCACAACTGTCTGTAACTCCAGTTCCAGGGGATCTGGCACCTTCACACCAATGCATATATATCCCAGTGTGATAGTTTGAAGCCTGCCTCAGCAGCATTTCCAGGTTTTTTCCACAATCATTTGTAACTGGTGCAGGGTTTCTATGCTATGGATGTTTCTAGCCCATCTCAGCTGCTAAATAACCAGAATGTCCAATGATGTCAGTATCGGTCATTCTCATATGAAGATCTTTGAACACGCCAAGCTTATTCCCATGGGATAAATTTCTTTTCTTTCTTTTTTTTAGAAGAGGTTCTTATTTTTAATAATTTAGTTTTATTTTATGTGCATTGATGGTTTGCCTGCATGTATGTCTGTGAGAGGACGCCAGATCCCATGGAACTGGAGTTACAGACAGTTGTAAGCTTCCATGTGGGTTCTGGGAATTGAACCCATGTCCTCTGGAACAGCAGCCGGTACTCTTAACCACTGAGCCATCTCTCTAGCCCCCACCACCAGAATACATTTCTTAAACTGGCGTTCTTATGTCAAAGACATGCACATTTTAAGGATTTTGATGCTTAATCCTGCACTGCTTTCTCAAAGTTTAACTAATTTATGCTCTCAACTGGTGGAGTAAGACAAGATCCAGCCTCACAGGCGACAGCAACACTGGGCATTGTTTAAAACGCACATACATATACTCACACATGAGTATGTGAGGAACAAATACTGATTGCTCTCTAACATGCATTCTTTAGTTATAGTGACACTGAACACATTTGCATGTTTGGACATTTTCAGTTAACCACTCCAAAATCATTCTTTCCCTGTTATTTTGAGATTGGGTATTGTTGTCACCTTTAGATTCTCAGGTATCAGCTTCTGGGCTGAGGAGTCCTGCGAGTCAGGCCTGAGTGTCTCAGGCTCCCCTGTGTCGCAGGCCTGGCCTCCAAGGGAGTCCCTGGCATTCCCATAAGAACCTACTAGAGTAGAGGCTGTTCGTCCTCCTTACAATCCTGTTCACCATCCCCCCTCCCTCCAATCACCCCTGTAGCACCACCCCCTGCAGCCAGGCCTGCCAGTCACAGAGCCCTCAGTGACTGTGTGCTACCCTCCGGAGGAAGGGGTGGCTAAGCTAGTGTGGGCAGAGAAACAGCCTGACACTGCCTTTCTCTTCAGTGTCCCAACGAAGGAAGTGCTCCCTGGTGTCATCAAGCAAGGAGTCAACTGCTTAGAATCCCAGGGCCAGAACACAGCTGGTGACCTCTTGCTGGGAATGGGCATCTGCAGAGGGTCTGCCAAGAGCCCTCCCCCCAGCCCAGGTAAGAAGAGGATGGGAGCCAAGGACATTGGCCAGGACTGGGGTTAGCACTTCTCTCGTTCATTGTTGTTCTGTCTGTAACCTCCGTTTAAGCCTCCTTCCCAGGGCTCCTCACACTTTGCTCCTGCTGCATGCCCATCTCTTTCCAGCCCCGTGTCCCTCACTTCTTCTAAAGGAAGAAATACTTTCCAGTTCTATGCTGGAGTACAGCTTGGATGTGTGTGATGGGCTGTGGGGGTCTCTGGGATGCTGTGCGTGTAGTAAATGCTTGAGTGCCACACCCACATCAGCTCTGCAGCAGGTTGTAGAGACCCCATCACGGACCTAGCCAGGTCCTATGTCCTATGTCCAGCACCCCTTGGAGCCTCTTTTTTTTTTTTTTTTGGTTTTTACGAGACAGGGTTTCTCTGTATTGTTTTGGAGGCTGTCGGTCCAGCCCGGCCTCGAACTCACAGAGATCCGCCTGCCTCTGCCTCCCGAGTGCTGGGATTAAAGGCGTGTGCCATCACCACCCGGCGAGGTTCCTCATCTTATTTCATTATGGACATTTTCAAACATGAAGCAAAAATTGGAACTGTAAAATGAATACTCTCCTTTAGCTTTTACAGCTACTCATTATAAGTCTGAAAAAGTTCCCAACTTCTTTGCCTAATCATTTGTCTACCTCTGTATGTCCATCCAGAGCTATTTTTTCCTGTCTTGCAGGCATGGCTATTCAGTGACCACCTCATCCAGCAGCAAGGGAAATGCCTGGCTGCCACCTCTACTTTAATGTCCTCCCCTGGGTCCCCAGTAGCACTGCAAGTTTGCAACCCTAAAGAAGGCAAGCAGGTAAGTCACCACCGTCAGGCACAGATGGCCAACAGCCCCAAGGGACACTGAGCAGGGATGGCAGCCACTGGCCAAGGAGTTCCAACTTGAGGCATGTACTCTCAAATAAGCCTTCTAGAATGAGGATCCAGGGAGCCTCTGGCATCATCTAGGTCCAGCATATCATCTCACTCATGAGCAGACACTGCAGCTAAGTGTTTGTTTAACATTAGTCCTGCCAGTCTGAGGGCAGGAGCAATTTGTCTTGTTAGTGCTGCTTGCCCAGCCCAGTAGTTGTAGACAACAACTACAAAGCTCAAATAAGAGCTAGCTCTGACTCCCAGACTGTGCTGGATGGTTCACGTTGACAATCATGGCACATCCTCCTCTAGCCACCTGATAACATAATTCTCCACTAACCATATTGTACAGTGAGTGAGCCAAGGCTCCCTAGACACAGGCTATCAGCTCCCACACCCTGGGACAGGGTGCAACTAGCTAGGATTTAAACCCAGGTCAGTGTGACTCCTAACCCACATATGTAAGCTGGAACTTAGTAAGAATTTCTTGACTGCTGGCTCACTGGGCATCTGAGGTCTAGACGCGGTGGTTTGCAAACTCACATGAGTAGCCTCAGGTGTGTCCTAGAAAACAGCTCAGGCTTACTTGTGGAAGCAAAAACTGATGCTCAGAAAAATATTATCACAGTAGCTAGTGACAGAGTACTGATCACTAGATTTCTGGAGTCAGCCCCTCCCTTTGCTGCCGCAATCTTCCAGGTTAAAAGGGCTCCCTGCTCCCCAGAGCATGGACTCCAAGACCCAGGCTGCTACACCCCTTCCCTTGTCCACAGGTAACACAGCCTGCTGAAGGTTGTGCAAAGGGTGTGGGGGGGGTGCTGATTCTCAGACTGAGCCTGCAGGCTCTCCTCCCACGCCTCTTCTGCTTGCCCGGGTCAGTTCTCTCTTTAGGGATGAGTGGAAGTTTGCTATTCTGCTCTGGAAAAGCAGCCAGGTTCTCTCCTTTCAGCCTTTGTGTAGGAGAGGCAGGGTGGGAGAGGCGGGGAAGCACTCTGTAGCCTGCTTGCTGGACGATCTGGCCACTTGAGCTAGCTTTCAGCCTACAAGATGCAGCTCGACCTCTGCCCTCTCCTGCAGTGGGCTGGTGTAGTCTGCCCTTCAGCTGGAGCCTCCAATCCCATCCTGAGAGGAAATCCTTGAACCCATGAGCACCTTCTCTACGTTAAGGTCAGAGTTTCTTGGTGCCTGCCTGCCCGGGCAGCCCCCACTCAAACTCTTCTCTGTGAAAGCTCTTTGTGGGGTGTAGAGGTGCTTGCTGCCAATCCCGACAACCTGTGTTTGATCCCCAGGACCCGTATGTCCACAAGCTGCATGCATTGTGTTCCTACAAGCTCTCCTGGTCGCCCGACACACACACACCCAGCGCTCTGGGTGTCATGCCGCCATGGAGGACAAATGAAAGCTCTTTTACTGTCAGTACATTTTGGATTCTGGGCTTTCCTTCCAGGCCCCAAATTGGCCTTGATTCCAACCAAGGCCAGTTGGGCTCCATGTATCCTTGAGGCTCCTGAGCTTTAGACAAGGCACAGTGGAGTCAGCAGGTTCCAGTTCAGCCATTCTCCGGGTTCCTCACTCATGCGCTAATGGGCTGCGGCACTGCCGGAGGAATCTGCAAATAGGGGATAGGAGGGTGCCTGAACCTGCGCTGTCTGCACAGGCTCAGAAGGAAGTGGCCGGGAGCAAGGGTGAGAAGGCGGCCTAGGAGTTCTCCATGTGCAGCAAGAATTCTGCCAGTGGGCTATTCGTTTGCTCATCGCTTCCCCGCGCCAAGGAACGTACAGGTCGTGTGCAAGAGGGAAAGATAAAAGAGGTGGAAGGAGTAGCCCCCACATCATTGAGAGCTAGGTGCCCAGGCCGCACCAAGCCTGAGCCGCCAGGGCCAGGGGAGAGAAGAGGCTGTAGGATTCCCAGCTTGACGTTGTTGGAGGTTTGACCAGTTGACTTAAATGTGAGGGGCTGTCAGAGCAGTCTGGTATCCAAAGAGAAATTGGAAATGCAGGTGCGGTTGTGGTAGCTAAGCCAAATTGTAAATAACCCCATCTCCACAGTTGAGTGCTGCTCATCTCTGTCCCAGTGAGAACACAGGCCATCTCCCTCAGAGCTCTGTGGGCTCCAGCCTCATGGTCCTGAGCTATGTCACCTCTTAGGAACGTAAAGTGGATATAAGAAAAGGGATAATGACTGCCTGGAAGGAACGTAGGCAAGAAACAAAATGTCTGTTGCTATTCAGTCTCCTCCAGATCTTTCAACCGGGGCCTCTAATCCTTCCTCCATGTTCCAGATAACACACCATCCTCTGTCTGTTTCATCTTCTGAAATGTCCTATGGGAACAACTTCCTCCCCCTACCTTGTCAAGCTTGGAAGAAGAAAATTCTAGGATCCCTTTTGTGACTCGACCATAGGAGGACTCGAGTCTCCCGGCCTCGCACACTGCAAAGGCGATGGCCACTTCCCACCTGAGTGTGTGGTGCTGGGACTCAAGATTACAGGTCAGGCCAGGCATGTAGGGTTGCAGGAAGATCAAAGCTGGTTTTCCTGTAAAGAAGAGATCCACCTGGACCAGGGCTCGCTAACTAGGTGCCTGCAGGGAACTGGTGAGGAAGCTGCCGGGCGGAGGGGGGGAATGGGGGGAAGGTCACCACTCGGGAGAGCTGGAGAACGAGAACCCTGCCTTAAAGTAGAGGGCAGGAAGCGCCCCAGCCCAGCCAGCTGATAGAAACCAGGCCTCATCTCCAAAGAGAAGCTGGAAATGCAGATTTTCATGTGATAGCTAAGCTGGGTTTTAAATGACACTATGCGAGTCGAATAAAACACCCCTCTGGGTTGGACACAGCCATGGGCAGTGTTGCTTCCTTTGACCTGTACAGTAACTCTGTGCCATATATACAAGTGAGCACTGCGGAGAGGAGCACTGTCTGTTTTAGATGAGGGGGATAAGGCTGGGAGATGACAGCGCAGTAGCCAGAGTGCTTGCCGCGTAATCACAAGAACCCCAGCCCCCACATAGAAAGCCAGGTTCAGCCTGTAATCTCAGCACTGGGGAGGAGGACCCAGGGGGGTCCCTGGGGCTTGCTGACCAGTCAGTCTAGCTCAGTTAATGAGCTCCATGTTCAGTGAGAGACCCTGTAGAATGATGCAGGAAGACAGTTGCCATGGACCTCTGGCCTCTATGAATGCACACATTCACATAACTGTGCAGGAAATACATACGCATAGTTTTACACACACACACACACATGCATGCACACATGCACTCATGCATGCGCGCGCGTAGATAAATACACGAGTGTGGTGTGTCCTAGGCATGTGCAGTATCATGTGCACATGAAATGAAGATACAAACTACTTTTTGGTCCTGTGCCGGGAATGGGGCTTGCAGCCTTGTGTATGTTGGGTGAGCACTATATTAGCAGGCCCCACCCCCAGCTCACCTAGTGTTATTTTTAATCCTTTTCTTCTTTCTTTTCCTTTTCCCTTCTTCTACCCAGAAATGGAGAAGGAAAGGATCTTTCATCCAGCATTCAGTCAGCGGCCTATGCCTGGAGACAAAGCCTGCCCAGCTGGTGACCAGCAAGTGTCAGGCAGATGCCCAGGCCCAGCAATGGCAACTGCTGCCACACACATGATGGTAGCCCCCAGCCTCCTGTACCCTCTGCATGAGACTTGGGGACCGGAAGGGGTTAGGGTGGGGGAGTGTCAAGCGGGCTGTTTCCCATCTCCTCACATTTCTACTAGATCATCAGTACACGCCCCTACCACGAGTTTCCCCAAAGCTAGTCCAGGGAGGGTGTGGGGGCATGTTCCGTGCCCTCTGTGCCGCCCCCGTCTTGCCCTGGGAGAGGAGATGGTTAGTGTGCAGCTGTCCTGGGCAGAGACTTGGCAGCTGTTCCTGGCCTTTTGTCTTCTCCCTTCTCCCTTGGCCCTTTTGGGGCCCCAGACAGTGGTATGTGGGCCTTCCCCTTGTTGCCCAGCAGGGACAAGGACAGAAAACCTACAGAGGGGCTAGATTGGGCCACAGGGCTAACCTGAGGTCAACACAAGACAGGTGGCAGCAGGTGTGAAGAGGCTGACGGCAGGGGCAGCTCGAGATCGAGGGGTTCGGTCCAGTGGGTGGGTGTGGGAGGGATGCATCCTGGGAGAAGAGGATGGGGACCCGAAGAAGAACAGAGATGGAGAGGCAGCTTGAAGTAGCAGAAAAAAAGCAAGGTCTCTTTCCAGAACATCATCCTGTTCATGCTTTGCTAGCCCTGGGCCCCAAGCCCAACAAAAGCCTGCATCCCTTCTAAGTGGTCGCATTCTTAGCAAAAGGCTGCAGAGGGGCCCGGGCCATTATTTATTAAGCAGACTCTACCTCTGCTTAGCCATATGTCAGGCCAAGACCCCACACTTAGGCCTTTATGGCCAGTTGGTACCCTGTCCCCACTAACTGGCTCCTGGTCATACACCCTGGAATGCCTTCATCTCTGCCACTGTTTTAGACCCCCCCCCCACCTTTGCAAAGGTCTTTGCCTCTGTAAACACAGCATCATGGGGCACAGTGGCTGGCCAATATGGGACCCCCTTTCTGGAGAACAACTATTTCCCAATCAGTAGGAACCAGGTCACCCAGGCTGAACCTCATGCCCAGACCCTTCTCTAGAGGCCAGCTGCCGCAGTGGGTGGTGGTTCTGTCTGTGTAGAGAATTGCCTGCTCTCTCCTGTCTTGTTACTGAGAACACAGAGATCACACATCGGTATCATACTGGAATCCCGGGCCTCTCTCCACCACTGGCTTCCACAGTATAATCTTGGGTCAAAGACTGTTGGTAACCAGAGCTCTTGGGGTCTTCCTCCCAAAACAATACAGCCTAAGGAGGCCACTCTTTCCCCAGGGGCACCCAGTCTTTCTTTCACAGAGCAGACAACCACACATTCATAGGGAATCCTACAGACTCCAGAAAGTCTACAAATCCCCAGAATATTGCATGTGTATGTACAGATGCGATTTCCTAGGTGGGGGTGGAGCCTGGATTTTCCCTGCTTCCTGGTTTCTAAGAGATCTGATCCTCTGCTCGGAATGAACTCTACCACCTATCTGCATCGCTGCCCCAGCAACCTGCCTGCTGGGCCTGTCCTGTCCATCGCCAGGTGTGAGGAGCCAAGTATCTGGTTTGTGGCACCCACTCTGGAAGATTCTCCAGCAGCTTCCTTGCACCTCTGGCTCTCACCAGCACCTTCTCAGCAGTTCTGTGCCAAATACGTGCGCACCCCTGGGCTCAGGGGCCTCTCACCATGGTGACCAAGCTTCGCCAATCCCGTTCCGATGTCTCACACGCTGCTTTCTGCAGAAATGCACTTGGTCCCATGTCCATCTGGGAATCCTCCTGCTGCTGCAGTCCAGGACAGAACTGGGGTCAAGGTAGAGGCTTTCCCCTAGAGACTTGGACTCTGCTCTAGAATAGCCCCTGGAGCTGGGAACCTGGGCCTCTCTCTGCAATGTACAGGCAGCTGCTCAGCCTTGAGAAGACTTCTCCCCGTTTCCTGTGGCTCTGCATTTGTCAGCTGTCCATTGTGGGGACTCAGTCCAACTCTGTTTTTGCTTTTCTTCTTGACCAAAGCATGTGCCACTAAGCTGTCCTGGGGGACACTGTCCTTACGAAACACACCTGAAATAAAACCACTTCTTACATGTCCAAATGTGCCGGTGCCTTGACTTCTGACTTTGCAAACTCCACAGCTGGAGGGGAATCAGGTTCCTATCCCGTAAAAGTGAATTAAACTGAACATGCTCAAGGTGAACCCTCTCGCATAGCTGTGGACAGCTGTTCTGAGGGAAGCCAGCCCGGTGGCCTTGCTACTAGGGCAGGCTGGGACCCAGGAAGCAGTGTTAGGCTGAGCCCAAGTTCCTTGCTTCATCACAAAGGCCCTGTTGGTTGCTTAGAAATAGCAATCCAATGGCTTCTCAGAATAGATATGGTCATCCACCATGCTTACCTTCCAGCAATTCTCCCCTCTTGCCTGGGAGCCATCCTAGTCCCTCAGACCTGCCTTTCACCTGCTCTGTACACAGGAAAGCGTTCAGACATGGTTGTCTTCCTGAATAAAAACAGCAGTGTCGTTCTGTAAGAGTCCCACCACCCTAGACTTGCTTGATCGGGTAGCAGATGCTCTACCTAACAGTTTCCATGGAAACCAATAGACAAACTCCACCATTTCTATGATCAGAAGTTGAGCCTATCCAGATAAAAATAAGTACTGACTTGGTGTGCGTATAAACTGCAGTGGAAATCCCCAGCACTCAGGAGGGAGAGGCAGGTGGATCTCTGTTAGTTGGAGGCCAGCCTGGTCTGCAAAGCAAGTTCCAGGACAACCAGGGCTGTTACAGAGAAATCCTATCTCACACTCCCCCCCCCAATAAACAAACAAACTGCAGTGGACAGACCAGAGTGTTGCTAACAACCCCCTCTGCCACCACACATGTACATACAAACATGCATACTCACATACACACATCTCAGGGCAACTAGCCTGGGATTCTTCAAAATGATTCCTGGGCCTAAAGGGTCTAGAACAAGTATCTGACTGGCTGTGGAGCACTCACGTTGACTACAGTCTGTGGTCCTTGCAGAAGCTCTTGACCAGCCTTCCCTTTGTCTTTCATTCCCTCTGGGAGCCCAGCTAACTACCATTAATTAGTTAGCCCAGTGTCTTAGGTAGGGTTTTATTGCTGTGAAGAAACACCATGACCAAGGCAGCACTTTATTGGGGCTGGCTTAAAGTTCAGAGATTTGGTCCATTGTCATCATGGCAGCAGGCAGGCAGACATGGTACTGGAGAGGTAGCTGAGAGTTCTACATCTAGATTTGCAGGTAACAGGAAGAGACCATGAGCCACTAGGCCTGGCATGAGCTTCTGAAACCTGAAAGCCCACCCCTAGTGACACACATCCTTCAACAAGGCCACACTTCCAATCATGCCCCTCCCATGAGTCAATGGGGGCTATTTTCATTCAGACTACCACACCCAGCTAAGTACTGGCTATTAACCACAGTTCTCACAGAAGCCTGCAGGACCAGCAAGGACTGGGGATATAGGAGCAATATCTGTGCTAGGGTCAGCCTCCTGCTTATCCAACAGAAAACAATTCCTATGTCCTGGGATTTGGATTCAGTTCTTTGTATTTTACCTGTCTGGTTCACAGGCTGGTTTGTTGACTGGCTGCTGAGCTGCAGAGCACAGAACTCAAGTGCTCCCTGCTGACCCGTGCTCCCAGTCACTTGGCTTTGATCCTCTTCCATTTGTTCCCCATTTATACCTGTGACAGCTCTGCTGCCCATCAGGAGGCCTCAGGACTCGTCCACAACCCTGGCTGGGGTGTGGTCCTCTCCACCAGGGGCCAGGAAAGGAAACCTGGAAAGGCCAGAGTTCACAATGTCCCTGTGACCCCACCCAACTGTTGTCTGGTGTTTGTCCCCTGGGTGCGAGTCACATCTGTGTCTGAGTCACAGCTCTTCCAGGAGGGAGGGGACTCTGGCAGCTTCTTCCCTGATAAGAGGACCTCCCTTCCTGGAGCTAAGGTTATGGAGCCCGGGAGAGGTTGTGCTCTACATACATACATACGTATATACGTACACACACACACACACACACACACACACACACACACACACACACACACACACACACAGAAGCCATACCCAACTGTTGTCTGGTGTTTTTTGTGTGTTCTCTGTGCTGGTCTGAGTCACCACTCTTCCAGGAAGGAGGGGGCCCAAGCAGCTTCTCTCATGGTAAAAGGACCTCCCTGCCAGGAGCTCAGTAAAGGCCTGGTCATGGAAAAGCCGAGGGGTTGTGTTCTCTTAACCAGCAGCTGTTGGTACGTAGCCAGTACATACACATATACACATACATGCATACACACACACACACAACCTGCTCTATGCCAGGCTTTTTTGCTAAGGTGGTATTAATAGATTTTCTGCCCCCCCCCAATAATAGGTTTCTCTACTGACAGTAACAGGTTTATTTGAGCAAAGCAACTCCCAGGCGACTAGGTTCTCCAGTCCCATAGATCAAGGCTGGAGAAGCTGTGCCCCCAAACAAAAGCAGGGAGACTTTATAGGTTGTAGGCAAGTGGTGATGATGTGTCCTACACATGCTGACCGCTTTAGGTGAGGACTTGGGTGGCTGCAACTTCAGGGGAGGAAGCTGCAGTAGCTGCTAAGAATGAAGAATGGGGCTTTTTGGCACCTTTGTTTGGAGACTGAGTGTGTGGGATTTGGAGAGAGAGAGACTGGAATGGGGCTTTCTGGGTCATTCAGGGTGAACTGGAGGTTCCAACTGAACAGGTGTGAGTCAATGAGACACTACCCTTCCAAAAATGATTTTCCCTGACAGGTTCAGGTTCCATCCTAGATGATGGTTGCCTTGGACCAAGCTGGGCTCAGTGGTCACCTTGCTGAGTGACCTGGGCATCTTCTGCTGTATACACAACATAGTGGTAACTCCATTCCCACAGGAGGATCTGGAAGAAAGCTGCAGAGGCCAAACCTGAACTAGTGACCATTTCTCCAGGGCTGGATTTTTGTTTGGTTGGTTTTGTTTTGTTTTTCTCTTTTCCTTTAAGGAGGCCTGGGAGACTCTGTGGCTCTGGATGGAGAGAATGGAGGTGAGTAATCCAGAAACCCAAGACACATTTGCTTTCTCCTGGCTCTATGGGCCTCTCCAAGCCCCTCAAGCCATCCTAAAACTAGGCCTGACTTGTGGCCTTTGTCTTTCAATAAAAGCCTTTCAAGGACCACCTGCTCAGTCCCTTGAGGTTCTAGTAAAGGGGTGTGCCTTAGACCAGCTCCCCAGATTCCTCTCTCAATCAGTTGCCCAAGTGATTAGAGACTTCTTTAGAAGCCTTTTGTCCTCTGCATTGAGAGGGAGAACTAGAGGGTTAGGGCCTCAGTATATTTGCTGTGTTTGAGTTTTGTTTGTTTGAGGCAGAGCCTCACTATGTAGTCCTGGCTGTTCTGGAACTTTCTATGTAGACCAAGCTGGTCTCGAACTCACAGAGATCTGCCTGCCTCTGCCTCCCAAAGCTGGGGCTAAAGGCGTGTGCCACCACACCAGGCTGCCTCAGCAAGATTCTGGTGGCATGCTTTTCCGGTTTGATTTGATTTTGATTTTTGTTTGTTTTGTCAAGGTCTCATATAGCCTAAGCTGACCTCAACTTTGCCATGTAGCCAAGGATAACCTTGGACTCTTGCTCCTCTTAGCCTCACTTCCCAAGTGTTGGGGTTACAGGCTGGAGACATAGTACCCCATCTGCCTGCTCCTTTTTGAATAAACTGGTTTGATGACTGAGATAAGTTATGATCTCCCGAGTAGAAGTTATGGGCCACTGCCTGGGGCAGAAGGCTCAGAGCTGTGTGCTGGGGCCTCACACATGCTAAGTAGAGTTCCTGCCATGAGGTTGAGACAGTGATGGTCCTCTGGAGCCAGGGTGGGTGTGAGTCCAGGCTGAGGGCTGCTACTGAGCCCGATACCACATGCCAGCCTTTCTTCCCGAGATCTATGAGTTTTTCCCCACTAGCAGCCACATATGGCCGCCTTGCCTTTAGACAAGCTCCCACCACAAAGACCCATCCATCAAGGAATCGGTGCCACACCACCAGCTTCTGTAAGTTACATGATGAGTCCTTTCTATGGCTCCTTCTCCCAGTGACCTCAGAGATGACCCACTGTTTCCTGGGCATACACTGATGGTCACTCATTTTAACTTTCTCACTCCTCCCTACAATTCTTGGAGGTTACGCCATCCACAAGATAGGAAAGGACTCCCTGAGAGATTAACACATGCGCTCAAGATTACCCAGGGTGGGCTGGAGTGATGGCTCGGTGGTTAAGAGCACCGCTCCTTCCTGCAGAGAACCTGTAAGTTTTGGTTCCCAGCACCCACGTGATGGCTCACAGCCATCTGGAATTCCAATTCCAGAGGATCTGATGCCCTCTTCTGACCTCTATAAGTACTGCATATACATGGTACACAGACAACAGGCAAAATGCTAATATTACACACAAAATGATAAGAAACACAATCTTTAAAATTTCTAAAGCTTGCCTGGTTAACAGGTGAGTTGGTGTTCAGATCCTGAGATTTGGGCCGGCGAAATGGATTAACAGATGAAGGCACTTGTCATCAAACCTGCTGACCTGAACTGTGAGCCCCAGGTCCCACCTAGTGGAAGGGGAGAACCAGCTTCTCCTAATTGTCCTCTGACCTCATACACATGCCACATACACACTGCATGCACACAAACAATAAATTAATGTTTAAAATCACGATAGGCAGTTCAGGCAGGAGGAGTCCTATAAATTCAAGGCCAGTCTGGGCTACAAACCCTACCCTAAAGCAAAGAAAATGAAGCAAAAAATACTGTTTTGACCCAGAATACTCACTTTTTATCATCCTGATTGCTTTTCATGTCTTTGTTCTGAGTTCACATTGACCCTGGAACTTTTGTGCTGTTATCCCCATGTTCAGGACAATGAAACCAACACAAAACTTACACACTTTCACACCGAATATCTTGGAGATGTTGTGAGATTAGGCGACATTTGAAAGTGAACTGAAGTAAATGCATAGAAGGAGACCTGGTACTCAAAGGAAAACCTGGCTCATGGAGGTGGAAATATTTGCCTTGTTCATA